CATAACAATTAAAAATTAAAATAAAAAATACAAAGGAATCTACAAAAATGTATAAGAGCAAATAAAATTCAGCAAGGATTCAGGATATAAGACCAACAAGTTAAAAACCAATCAACTGTGAAAACAAGTTTATCTCCTTCATGGTTGTAAAGTACTTCAATAAATTGTATCTTAATAAAATTCGTGAATGGGAACATTTGAATGACCAGGACTCCCACCTATTAGGAATTATGGCCATCTCTATATGGGTTAAAAAGGTGAAAAAAATGCAGTGTCGCATCAGGGGATTTTGACTTTCAACAAACATCACAGAGTCTACCACACTTCACTCCCTGAACTGCCACTTGGAAACTTATCTCACTGAGGAAGAACGAAATCTAGTCATGTCTCTCTTCCTGGGCCTATGACAGAGCAATTGGGCAGGGCTAACCTGCTCACTTGAAGTTGAGCCTCTTGAAGGTAGAGCACTAAGTCACCAGTCTCAAAGTAGTCATTCTATAACATTTACTGAACACCTACTACTATGTGCTTTAGCACTATGATCATTTATTCAACCATCATAATAACAAAGAAACATGCTCCTTGAGAACAAGGACTTTACCTGGCCCCATCAACATTTTACTTCTAGTAGCTGGCATGATGCTTATAGTGGGCATACACTATATTAGTTGATTGACGAAATGACCTGTTAAAGTCTAGTCTTTCTTTGGAACAAAACTACATATCAGAATAAAATGCGTGAGAGAAAATCTGGCCTAATTTCTATCAAAATAGGTTATACACAAAATATATAGCAAGAAACTACTAGAGCACAGCCTTGTATCCTGGTATACCGACTGAGAACTACTATACCTAGGGTTGCCAAATATAGCAAATACAAATACAGAATGCCTAGTTATACTTGAATTTTAGATAAACACTGAACAATATTTCAACATAAGCATAATGCAATATTTGGAACACATTTATGCAAAAAAATTGTTTGTTGTTTTTCTAAAATTTGTTTAGCTGTGTATCTGGTATTTTGCCTGGCAACCCTAACCGTACTAGATCACGCCCCCTATCCAACACAATAGCAGGATCCAGTAGGTATTGGTTGAATGGATAAATGAATGGTTGAATGGATAAATGAATAAAGAAATGTTTGCTTACAATCTCTGATTCTCTTTTTTGGGCACAGTAGTCAGGCACATGTAAGCATGTGTCCTATTTTATATCATCTGCAATATCATCTTCTGCCCTTGGAATCAGAGCTTATCAGCGAGGGCCAAGAGGGCCACTTGGTTTGGGCTATACGTTCACAAAGGGTTTTTATTTTATGTTTTTCAAAATTATCTTTAGATTACATTACTTCTGGGGATGGCATTGGGGTATAGAAGTGAAGGAAAATGTCCATCAAACAACTTTAAAATTATCTGATTAATAGACCACACCACCAGCCTTGCATTAGCTTACTACTACCACTGTAAGCATTTACCATAAACTCTGTGGCTTGAAACATGACAAATATATTATCTTAAAGGTCTGACCGTCAGAAGTTTGAAAATGTGTCTTAGAAGGCTAAATCAAGGTGTTGGCTGGGCTGCGTCCCTTTTGAAGGCTCTAGAGAAAAATCCCTCCCTTGCATTGTCCAGCTTCTAAAGGCATGCATTCTTCTTCTAAGAGTGGCATTTCTCTAACCTCTGCTATCTTCACATCTCCTGTTCTGACTCTGAAACTCAGGACCCTTTTTATAAGGACCCTTTGTGATTATAATGGGCTCACTCAGGTAATCCACCATAATCTCCCCCTCTCAGATTCCTTAATTCAAATAATGCCTGCAAAGTCCCACTTATCATGTAAGGTAATGTATTTGCAGGTCCCAGCATTAAAAAAATGTACCTCTTTTGAGGACATTTTTTTTTGCCTACAACAAGCACTATAAGTTAATTGTAATATATTACATGGCACTCATAAGTGTTCACTGGTTAATTGTACACTTCAAAAACTTCAAACATTTTTATAATTTCTGTTCTTTTGTTATTTTTTAAAATATTTTTGGATCCTCCTTTGCCTTCTGAGAGGTCCTCCTTGAAGCAACATGATTTCTTATCTCAATTATGGAAGAATTGTGCAGTTCGTTACACCAGACCAGTGGTTCTCAATCTGGCTAACCATTAGAGTCAACTTTTATTTTTAAGTCACAATGTCAAGGCTGCACACCAAATTAATTAAATCAGTATCCCTGGGGAATGAATCCAGGATTCAGTATGTTTGAAAGCTACTGAAGTGATTCCAGTGGGTGTCTGAAACTGAAAGCCACTTCATTCACTTTAACCTTCCCTGCTTATTTAACCTGTTTTTCTCTTCATCTACTCCTTCCTTATCTCCTCTTCTGGCCCAATTTTCCTGCTGTCTGTAAGTTTATCTCTCTTCTTTATTGGAGTATATTATTTTAATTATATCATATTCAATAAGAAAAAATGTGTAGATGCTCTCAAAACAATCAAGATGGTATGGCTTGGTGTGTATAGACTGAGTTTTTCTGGGAACAAAATAATGCTTCACTTTACCAAGAAGCTTCATGTCTGCAAATTCTACACTTCTGTGATCCTCAGCTTTCTCCTCTGTTGTCCTCTTCTAATTTATAAACTTCACAATTCTAAATATAGAAAAAAGATCATGGTTTTATGGAAGGAGCTCTGGACCCCAATATCAGATTTCGATCTGATTTAGTTAAAGATAAACTGTTTGGCTTAGTTCTGCTTCCCCCAGAAGAAAAATCACAGGCAAGGATTTGTAGGTGGTTAATTTAGGAGATAACGCCAAGAAACACCAGGACATCAAAGCAGGTGATACAGGGTGGATCCTCAAGATTGGTGCCACTGTATACCACTGGAATTTAACCCTTTTGGTAACTCTGGAAGCCAGTATGGAATATGGACCTTAGAGATATCCTGCCAGAGGTGAGAAGGAGCTGAGAGTGGGAAACTGATTTTTTATTTTTGTCAGTCATTGGTTCATGACTACGCCTGAGAAACTTCATTCTCCAGCCCTTTCTGCCTGTTGTACATAAGGGCAGAGAAGTATGGTAACAAGAGAAGCCCTCAGGCAAATGAGATGTAAATGTTGACATTCGGATGCCAGGTCAATGTACACCACAGGGTTGAGGCCAAAGGGGATATAAGGAGATGCCAATGATGTTCTTCTTAAAAATGGCAGTAAATTATTTCTTCTTATAGATTTAACAAAGGCATTTGAGAAATAAATGAATTAACATTTCAGAAGCACATTGAGGACCCTTCCACAGTGCCTTTGGGGAAGTGACTGTAGGCAGAGGACTGAGATAAATGTATTCCCTCTGTTTAAAAGGCTCTTTAGGATTCTTTTAGACAACACATAAACAATTTCATCTCATTTGGGCACCATTTAGTTAGATTGTGTTTCAGACCACTAAGTGGCAACTTTTTCAAATATTGGGAGGTTAAGGCATTAGATTTTTGTACTGCAAGTAAATAAAAATACATATTACTTTTGGATATTGACAAATTATATTGCAGGTGTTAAGAAGAAAAGTTAATTGCTGGCATGCTGTGTATCTCCTGCTTAAGCCCAAAAGGAGAAAGATTGACAAAGTACTGATGTTTGTCCTTTTCATATCTATGCCAGGGCCTGCAGACATATAACAGGACCATGCAGACTTATTTTCTCCCTAGTGAGTAAAAAATACCACCATTGTTGTTCAGGCTTATCATGGGTATGTTCTCATAAGACTGTTGACTCTTTCTGTGTCATACTGTAAAGCCCTGAACAAGCTGTGTTGACCTCTTCTTTACCTATTCATTCCAGAACATTCCTGATGCTAAGGAATTTTTTAAGAGACAGGGTATTATTACTATGTTGCCCAGGCTGGCCTTGAACTCCTAGTTTCAAGTGATCCTCCCACCTCAGTTTCCCAAGTAGCTAAACAGCAGGTATGCACCACCCTACTCAGCTGGGATTTTCTGTTTTAAGGTTGGGTAAGTGATATAGACTTACCTCTAACTTTAATATCTCACTTAGAAGTTCTTCGCTATGGCAAAAGATAAATGTTTTCTCTTCACACCCATTATTCTTATCTCTTTTGATATCATTTAAGGGCTTCAGAGACTTCCTCATGGCATTAATAGAAAAGCAAAATAAATGAAGCTGATTCCACCTAGTGTCAGAAAGTTTCAAACTAGAACAACTTCATCTTGAATAGGGGCTGAGTAAAATGAGGCTGAAACCTGCTGGGCTGCATTTCCAGAAAGTTAGGCATTCTTAGTCACAAGAAGTTCATGGTTAAGGGAACAGGTTAATAATGTTTACTGAACAGACCCAGGACTTACTAGATCCATGACTTAACAGACGCAGGAAATGCCCTGATGTCCCAATAGCATAAGAACAAAAGCATTCTTAGTTTAAGAATAAGCTTCGCTTTAACAATAACAATACAGATTTTTGTGGTAGACAGTAGTTACACAAAGATTAACAATCCCTTGTCATGATCCTTTGTAGTAGAGCACATCTCTTCATGATTTTTGCTTTGTTATCTTGTATGTAAACGAGCATTGAACCTAAGGTGGATGTGTTCCTCCTCTTGCTTTCAGGAACATCCTGCTGTCTATGGAGTAGCCATTCTTGTATTCCTTTATTTTCTTAATAAACTTGCTTCCACTTTACTCTGGACTCACCTTGGATTCTTTTTTGCTCAAGATCCAAGAACCTTCCCTGGGATCTGAATTGGGACCAGTTTTCAGTAGCTCTAGTGCAGAGTAAAAGAAGTTCAGGAGTCTAGACTCAAACATGGAGATAGTGCAATGCAGGGGAGGATGTGCCCCAATATGAATGAATCTATGGCTTTAGACCAGGGATGTCCAATTTTTTGGCTCCCCTGGGTCTCAATGGAAGAAGAATTGTCTTGGGCCACACATAGAATACACTAACACCAATGATAGCTGATGAACTATTTTTTTTTTAAAGCTCCATGCATAAATCTCATAATGTTTGAGGAAAGTTTACGAAATTGTGTTAGGCCACATTCAAAGGTGTCTAGGCTGCATGTGGCCCATGGGCTGTGGGTTAGACAAGCTTGCCTTAGATTTTCTCTAAAACAGAAGCATATATTTGAAGTCATCAAAACCACCCACCTCCATTTGAGTTGCCAGATGACCCAAGCTTCATGAGTGATCCCAGACTAGACCAACATTAAACACAGTTCAGACTGTTTTTCCACTGAATCATGAGAACATAAAATGGTTATTGTCTTCAGTCACTGAGTCTGTGGTGGTTGATTATGCAGAAATAAATAACTAATATAATAAGTTAAACAACAACCAGTGATTGCTTAATAAGGGAAGACATTGACATTTCAAAAAAATTTGAAAGATTATTTAGCCCTGGTTAAAATATCTCAAGTTTTTTGTTGTAAACTCTTTGTTTCAGGTAGGCTCACTGTGCATCAGATATGTCTTGTAAACTCCCTTCTGCTGTGCCATTGCCTATGCAGGCCCTAAGCATGGGATGCCTTCTCTGCTCCTCTCAGCCTGCCTACAGAAAGCTGCTTTCCAAAATCAACCTCCTTCATAATGTTTGCCTTGCAAACATTATTATTAAGACCAGCCTGGTTCTCAATAATTTCTTCAGTCACTGAAACTGTATAACCATAATAAAATTCATTTATTTGGCACTGTATCAACCAATTAGAAAGCCTTATCTCCCATCTGGACTACAAGCTTCTTGAAGGAAATATTCCTGCACCTAGTATGGTATCTGTGACATGGCTCAACATGTGTGACAACCCACCCACTAAAGTAGGTGACTTTGTCTTTGCTAACTCTTCTCTAAGTTAACACAGGGCAGGAGGGGAAGCACCAAAAAATGATGAAAGTTTCTAAGTACTTGGATCTTAGCTCTTTAAATATGAAACTGTTGACTTTTTTATGACCCTTCACTTTCTAGTTCCAAATATATTTTACAAATATGGAAAAATACCAGAGGAGTGTTATCCTCAGAGTCATTGCTGAGTATTATTGCTGTGGATGTGGTTGTAGGAGTTAGAGTGGGGTTCACAAAGAAGGTGGCAGGGGTACTGCCCCACAGCAACAAAGTGAGAAAACACAGAAGTCTTTCAACACATTTGTGTTACCAAATTCCACGGAAGGACCCTCATCTCCACTTTCTTGTGTTTCTTTCTGTTCTTCCTCTTTACAACACACTTGGGAGGCAGATTGAACCTCTGGTTCTCATTACAGTCAATAAGGTCAACCCTACACAGAAGGATTTCCTTCTAATTTAGTGATCCTGTTTTTGAACTTCAAGAAGGTCAAGTTTTAGAGATATTACATTTCTGGTGGATGCGCATTTATTATTGATAATTTTAAATCTCGCTCCCTGAGGGAGAATGACTGGTAGCTATCAACAGGGACTATAAGAAGATCTAAGCAACACAAACATAAAAATGCAAAGGAAGTGTCAGCCCAAGCTTTTCTCTATGGAATATAATGTAAAACCCAGAAACATTTACAGTTGACCTAGGAGAGAATCTGAAAAAAAAGAATTTCCTTGGACTGTTTTAACCTAGAGGTTGAAATGGATGCCTCTTGAAATAAATACTAAAGGATCTCCTTTCATACTTTCTTGGTTTCAAGTTCAAGGGTTCAAAGGTAGTGTGCTTCTTCACTTTATTTTTAATTCATTTTAGAATTTGAGCCACCCAGAAGACACTTAGGTGCCAAATGACCTGGAATATAAGCATTTTGCTTCTGTGACCGAGATTTTAAAAGAAAATAATTAAGCACATGTCTCCTATTTCAAGGCTCTGCTTTGGCTAGACGTGTGAAGCAACTTGCTCAATTTCTTCAATACTAGTGACAATCATTATTATAAACAACCTGGCAAAAGCCATATTCTTACTTTGTACTTAAAAAAAAAAAGCTCCATGCATAAATCTCATAATGTTTTAGGAAAGTTTATGAAATTGTGTTAGGCCACATTCAAAGCTGTCTGGGCTGCATGTAGCCCATGGGCCTCAGGTTAGACAATCATGCTTTAGATTGTCTCTAAAACAGAAGCATGTATTTGAAATCATCAGAACCACTCACCCCATTTGAGCTGCCAGGTGACCCAAGCTACAGAGGTGACCCCAGACTAGACCAACAGAAGAATTGCTTAGTTAAACACACTGCTAAGTGTTTTTAAAACAAAATTTATAATTAAAATAGCTCAGCAATATTGATATTATTCTTAATTTACAAGTACAGATGAGAGCCTTAACTAGTAACTTATTAGCACTGAAGTAGACAGATCAGTTTATTTGTTCTGAGGTAGGACCAACTGTGGGTATAATTTATACTCTAGAGCTTTCTTTGGGGACAAGCTGAGATTGGAATTCACCTAAACATTCATTCTCCTTTTTTTATTTGGTTCTTTCCTTTCTATTAGCTTCCTTCACTATTCCTGAGAGCAATTCCTTAATAAATCCTTTGCATATGAATCTTCATCTCTGGGGTAGCTAACTTAAGACACGAGTCCAGGAGGATGTTCTTATTTATTGTAAGACTAAGGAAAGGTCGATGATACAACTTGTTTAAAATCACAAGTTAGTAAAGATGGGAACCCATGTTTGAACTCAGGTCTGGCTCCTTGCCAAAATCATATTGTAAAACTCAGATTACACTTTCTTTCTTAAACTGAAGAGGACACAGCAACTACGGTATAACTCAACAGATAACTTCATAGTGTTATGGCTCTGATCATGCCCACCTCACCCTCAGCCTCCTCTAACTCAAGAACAACTATCTCTTCACAGATGTCGAGGATATTGAGGACAGGAAGCAAACCTCCCTCCCCTGTTAGTCCATTGATGGAGCTTGAGAAGTTTTGTTTTTCTCAGTTTTTACCTCTCAATTTGATAAAATGCTTTAGTCACTGTCACAATTTGAGAAGGGAGGGATATGGACTAAAGGCAGATACAAAAGGACAACTAGATCTTCTAGGAAAATGTAGACTATGAAATAAAGCCCTTTGTTCTGTGAACTCTGGACTTTGTATGTTGGGGGTGTGGAGCTTTGCGGCTGCTTATACTCATCCCACTGACTCAATCTGTTCTGCAAAACATCTGCAATTGCCTGACTATGACCTGACCTAAAACTCGACCTAACTTCGCACCAAAGCAATTTTTTTCCTCCAATACCTGCCTCAATGCAATTATTTCCAAGCTGTGCAGGAAGCAGTCTTATCACTTTTACCATTTAATCATAAAACTATTTGAATTTTTCATATGAGTGGACTACACATGCATGTTATTTGTATGGAGGTAGCTCCTATAAGCTTTAATCATTAGACAAATATTGGTATATTATTGTTTATCTTGTTGACTCATTATACAATTTAAAGATATACAACATATGCACAAGATAAACAATAAAAGTATTTATTTTAGCTAGAGTTGCCTAGAAAAAGTCAGAGACCAAGATTGCGAGAGGTGTGCAAGAGGGTGAAGACAAAGGAAAGAGAGGCAGGGAAGGGCAGAAGCTTAGCCCCATGTGATGTTTCTGGACAGGTTTGATAAAGTTGTTGCCCATGGAGCAGTCCATGAAAGGAAATACGATGAGGACATTTATTTATTTACTTGTCTGATCCCTCCTGTGTCCTGTTTTCTACTGGTCAAAGATAATCTTCTAGTGGATTGACTCCTAGTCATGTCTAGTTTAGAATCATCTAATATTTAGCAGCTTTTCTTAGAAAGACAGATGTTGGATTCCTCATTATGGCATTTACATTAGTCAGATGCTATAGGATGAACCAGAAACTCAGCTGTGTGGTTAGCCTGACATTCCTGCAGGAAGCAATTGGTGGCCCAACTGCACAGGTGCAGTCAGTGTTGGTCATTGCCCAGTACCTAAGAGCATAGGACTGAGAATCTGGAGAGGTTGGAACCACTCTTTATTGGACCTTCTGCCACCAGGAGAACAAGCATGAAGAAGCCAGCTGAGAGAGATGACATGGAGCACAGATGAACCATCCCAGCTGAGACTATCCTTGACCAATGTTATGGTTTGAATGTTTGTGTCTCCCCCAAATTCGCCTTTTGAAATCCTAACACTCAATGTGATAGTTTTAGGAGGTAAGGCCTTTGGGAGGTGATTAAGCCATGAGAGTAGGAGCCTCACAAATGAGATTAGTGCCCTCATATATGAGACCCCAAAAACTCCCTGTCCCTTCCACCATGTGAGGACACAGTAGAAAATTTGCTGCCTGCAATGGGAAAAGGTCCCTCACAAGAAACTGACCACGCTGGAATGCTGATCTCAGACCCAGCCTGCAGAACTAAGAGAAATAAATTTCCATGGTTTTAAGACACTCAGTTAATGGTATTTTGTTATGGCAGCCTGAATAACAATCAGCCAGATCTGACTTACCAACCAACTCACTTAAGATAGATAAACAAACTAGTCAGAGTCAGTCAAGACCAGGTCAGATGTGTAGACCTCCCAGGCAATCCACAGAGTCATAAACAAGAATGCATATTTATTATTGTAAGGCACAGAGGTTTTGTACATGTTTTTAAGTAGCATTATTGTGGCCATAGATTACCAATCAAAAGCTTAACAACAATCCTACAGGGTAGACATGACGTTTTTGTTTAAATGTCAACTGATATGGAAGCAGGAGAGGCTAAACGATTTGGTCAAGATCTCACATTACACGTTTGAATGGAACCCAGGGATATCTAATTCCGTGGTTTTAATTACTATAATTTATAACTTAATTTTCCTTAGATTCCTTGTTGACTAGTGGCTTTTAGTGGATAATTTGATCATGTTGTCTTCCTCCTAAGGTACTGTATCTTGTTTAAATTTTATGTTTTCAGAGCCTGGAGTTTTGTAATTAAGTAAATATTAAGGATATGGAACATAAAGTGGAGAGAAAAATATCAGAAAGAGCAACAGATACAAGACACTAAAGGAAATACAGTAAAGTACATATTTTTACCCTAAAGGGTAGAAGACAGGTGAGGCTTGGGGTGGAGGGATATGCACAGTGAGCCCATAAGGGGATTGCTGGTTTCCTAGGAGGCTTGGACATGATGCAT